CAGGCCCACACCAAACCACAAACACACACAGAGCATTGCAAGTGATAAGAGTGCTCACTCACATGAGTAGTAGCCCACATCAGCATTAGCAGAGAGCCGGGCAATGTCAAAACTCTCCTGCATAGTTACATCCCACTTCTTGCGGTACCGGCTGTCGTGAAGGACGTCGAACATGGTAGCAGCTGACACATCATTAACTATCATTTTACACTGGGGAAACATACAGAGGGTTACAGGACACCACCCACATAGCACGACAGCCTAATAAAACTGATTTATTTTTCAAAAGGTATTATAGTTTTTAGATTTGGTGCTAAAGCAAACTCACCTTCATCTTGTGGACTTTAGGTACGTGATTTCCTTTATTCACAGCGCGCACCTCGATCCACACTTGCATCCCATTGTTGTCATACTTATTTTGCCAGTTGTCGGTTGCTAAACACTGTTTTTTGAAGTCAACAAAGACCGCCTCATCGGGTAAAATATTCGAAACCCGAGACATATTCGTCTGTTTTAAAAGAAGCCTTTCTTCTTAAAGAGGAAAAAGAAAAATAATATCCTTCAATCTGATCGCCCCCAGAAAAGTTCAGTCTCTCTGTGCTTTTCCACGGACGAGATTTAAAGCTTCTGCCGACGTGGTGCCCTCGGTGAGAGAGATATATGTCTGCTGATCCAGTTGAGCAAGATTTTTGTGTTGAATTCCTGAGCCATTCCTTCAAACACCTCTCCCGCTGACGTAGAGGTTACTTCCTGAAACCAGGTGTGCGTAAAGGAAAAAAAAAAGGTGTGCCCCGCCCTCAGCTGTCAGTGCAGCTACTATAGGTCGAAACTTTAACTAAACTTAAAAAGTATTTTTAGAAAAGAGCAGCCTTACTGGGTGTTATTCTGAGTAAGTATTAACAATACAAACAGGGGTGCACTCACAGTACTCTGCGCATTGTGGGCGGATCAGGGGAGTGGGTAGGTGAGAATTGCTCAGCGTCGATCCATTCTGAGTATCATCACGACTGTGAAAACTAAACAAAAGCACACCTTTATTAAACTATGAGTGGAATGTTTAAAAAAAATCTGATTTTCACACTTATATTTGATAGTGGCATTACAGTCTGAACCATTTAGGCTTCTTTGGTTCAAATTAGACTAAGTCTACATTGAATTCCTGACTAAATTGAGCAAATTGAAAGTGTCTTTTCACATGGATATTTAGGGATGTACTGCCTGTCTCATCTTGAAAAAACAAAACACCCAACTCTACCACGTGCAAGCAAAACAGGTTTTGAAATCTGTTGAAGAATTTGTTTTATCCACTTATTTAGCAGAAAGTAATGGATGGATGGCTTTTCTTATTCAGCCAGTTTCCTAGACTTGCATCAAACCCAAAGAGCAAATCTTATATAGTACAATTAGGTGAAGATCTCCAATGAGAAAATGCTTTTTTGTAAAAGACTAGGCTTAACCCACGTCTGGGAAAAGCAGTCATCTGAAGCAGTGAGGACTGTGCACCATGAATATAGGATGCAGAAAAAGATGGTTCTTCTTACTGTACCAACATCCTAACACCAAGTCTTAAGCCCCCAACAGCCCTTAGAACATGTCTGTTGAAAATGCAAGCTGAGATTTGTTAGTGTTGTACCAAAGCTGTGTTCAAGTATTGCATAAAGTATTATTAAGAAATGTCTCTCTACTGCATACAACTTGGAATAAGTGAAGGTTTTTCCAGAACCTTCTGCTCTGGACACATAATACTCAAGGATGAGAGTAATAATCTATCTGTAGTAGGAATATTGGAAATAAAATTTCATTTACATTCTTTAGTTAGATATTAGCAGATTTGTGCAATGCAGTGTCATGCTCACATTTGACCACACCTAACTGTTATAACATTTTACAACCGTGATGTGTTACATAGTTTCAATGGTGACGTGTCACACACCTATGTATAACCGGCTCAGGTGCTGTGACTCATTTAGAACTTTATTAACCTCCTAGGACCTGGCGTCCACATATGTGGTCATCACATTTTGGGTTAGTTAGACCAAAATACTCAATTTTGCTCTACAGGGGCCTGATATCCACTTACGAGGACATTATACTGCTACTGTTCTATCGAAATTTTAAACAAATATCCTCATATGTGGCTCTCATTTTTCTTAGAAACAAAAATCAGGTAAAAAAAAATAAAATCTGGTCATTCTTTGTTTTTACATTCATCGGGTCCCAATATGCCCAGATATCAAAGAGAAATCAAAAATGCATGCTGTGGAAGAGTTCGGGTCTTAGGAGGTTAATGAACAGAATTAATATGACTGTTGCCATAAAATAACGAGTTTAAAAAAAATGAACACAGAGGTTAAATTTTGGTGAAATATCTTTATTTTACTCCATGTGATAAGCCTACACTTGTTGTCATTAACTCTCCTTTTTATACATAAGATAGTAATAGTACAGTATTCACACAAACATTGCTAAACACGAGTAGACATATTTCAAATGGACAGACACAATTCAGAATAGCACAAAGCTGAGTATTTAGTAATAGAAGAGCTGCTCATGTTAAAACGGTTGTTCGCGTTGCAATTTAAATACCTTAACTTTCAAATCCATTTTTTAAAAACGCTGGACATTTAAAAAAAAAAAAGCTACAGCAAACGATCAGTGTCTTTTGTTGTGCTATGGCTGGTTAGTTGGTTTGGGAGACGGTGTAGGCTTTAACTGTGACTGTAAATCAAGCAACACACCACACCGGCAAAAAAACAACCCCCCCCCCCCAAACTCACTAGGCGTAAATGTCACCTGTAGGTGGCGCCTCAGCAAACACGCAAACAATAAATAAAATAAAACTTTAAAACATGCGTATCGGCATCTGTACTTTTGGTCACGCGTACAATGTTAGCTGTATGTCCAAGTTACAAAATAAATAAACCAACAGTCCTACACAGGCAATAGCAATACAGCAAAAGATATGGCAACTAACGTCTGCACTTTTTTTTACAGCAAGGGTGTTAGTAAGCTTTAGCTGTATCTGAGGACATCTATCTACCAGCTCTACAAACAACTAGTGAAGCCATGAACCAGTCAGCAGGCTTCTCTGATATTTTACAATATTGTGGCTTGATTCAGTGCACAACGTTGGTGAACAAACAAGCAAGGCATCTGTGTTCTTATCCATGGAAATCCTGCGGGGTGAGCATGCTGCATGTTGTTGCAATAGTGTAATCAACACAACACAAATCGTCGATGAGATGGTGACCAAAGTGACAACTCTCCATCGACGTGGAAAAACTGATTTTCATAGTATTAGGGGACCATCTACTCAGAATGCCTCCTCAGACATGTTAGTACAGTGCAGAGCTCATTCAACAACATATAAACTTTTAGGTTAGTAGGCTTTCTAATTTGTTTGGGCTGGTTTCCCTTTTACAATGGATATCCATTTCCTTATTACACATCCTTCTGCAGTACTGTTAAATACAAATTTGTGTTAATCCGGTCCACTTATACACTTGTATTTGGCAATGTAAGCTCGCAGACATGTTAGGTATAAGTAGTTCCACTGACACAATGAAAAGGGTTTACTTGAGCCTAATGTGGTAATATAATGTTTTGCAATGATAACAGTTCACTGGTTGAGAGCCAGTCGTTACTTCCTCAAAATAAGACAAAGTCGACAAATGATAAGCCGTTTAGGAGACAGACCTCTCCATTTGAAACAAAAACAAAAGGATAGGCAGAGAACTCAACCTTGTAGAGTCATTTAAATAATCCCAAGCAGTTTTACTTTACAACAACAAGAGTAACAGCACTAAGATTCTAAACTGTGCAATAACTCAAGAGCAGTTAGCTATGTCAGTCTGCAATCCTATATAATGCCATGCAACTGGATGAAAATCTGAACATATCAATTAACTTATTCCTTGTTTTAAATGTTTACTTTTGAACCATTTTTTCCCCAAATAATTTGTTTCAATACAGTAATGCACATCCACACGGTTACTCTGAAAAGTCACTGAGTTGAAAAGGGAAAAAAAAAGAATAAAAAAAAAGACAGGTCCTCCATCCCGATGGCCGTGTGCCAAGGGTGGAGGAAAGTGGCCACTGAGAGACAAGCTGTTGGTGGGGAGGAGACAGGCTGGCAGGGGCTGAGGTGTACTAGCATGAGCAGCTGCTCTCAGTTACAGTCATCTCCGGCTGTTTCTCCAATTTGATGTCGATCACTGAGAGAAGTTAGTTAAGTAACACTTCACATGAATTGCAGATTTCACTTCTTTTTTTTTTTTGTTTTTTGCAGTGCCTTTCATTCTCTGCATTCTTTCCAGTCAACTAAGTCGCAGTCAGTGCTAAGTTACAAATATTTTTAAAACTGTGGCATGACAAAAGGTATGGCAGCAATTTCTGCGCAAAAGCAACTCAAAAAGGATACTGTCCTCTTTGCTTTTCTCTGGTGTGCTATCCATCCCAGGCAATGCAGCAGCAACGCGTCGGAACAGCTGCAAAACAGTAAGAAAAATTAAACATTTGAAAGGAACAATTTGGTAAATAAAATGTAGTAGTTTAAGTAGCAAAAAACACAAGACACAGTCCTGTGAAAAGAAAAACTCTCACAGGTCTTTACGCAGTCCTGTAAAAAACTAAGAGCTAATTTCTGTTGTACACTTGCTGATGTGCTTGGGATCGTTGTCCTGCTGAATGACCCAGTTTTAGTCTTTGGACAGATGGCCTCATATTTGATTCAAGAATAATTTGTTTACAGAGAAGTTCATTGTGGACTTGATGGCTCCAAGGTATCCTGGTCCTGTGGCTACAAGACAAGTCCAAGTCATCACCCCTCCACCACCATGCTTGACAGTTGGTACGAGGTGTTTGTTTTTCGCATAATGTGGCACAACGCTTTACGGCCAAATCTCTACACTTTGGTCTCATCTGCCCAAAGGACATTGCTCCACAGATTTAGCGGTTTGTTCTTATACAACTTTGCAAACTAAACTATGCTCCTTCTGGGAACCTTCAAAATAAGACACCCCCCCAAAATGTCCTATCATATATCTTTCAGCATTGAACATGCTAACCAATGTCTATAGAGTCTGACATGTAGCTCTTGAGTTTTTGCAGTTTATCTAAACATTGCACGATCTGTCCCTTTAGTGGAAGACTGTGGCATTGTGTTAACACATTTCAATGTTCCAGACTTCACAGAGGTTCTCACATTTGCTGATCATCATTTCATCAAGTGCATTTCATAAGCAGCACCTGGCTGCTACTCAGCCTCTTTATTCCTATTGAAGCAGCAAGAGTGAAATTACTTTTTCACAGGACTGTACAGTACATTTTCTACAGATGTAGCAGGAAACTGTTTATACTCAAATCTCCAGAAATGTGTTTTTATTTACATGTTTACTTAAGGCCCCAACACTAAGGCACTCACACTGAAACAAAGCCCCTGGCATCCTAAAGAAGTGAGATATTTCAGTCTTGATGATAAATGTTTGATTCCAAACAGCCAAATACAGTCATACATTAGAGTTAGATAGATTATCATGGAAAGTACTGAAAATCTGGTAACAATACAGTTTATCATATTACCAAACCCTAGATGGTAGTCAATGGGCAGTATGTAATTAAATTATAGCTAGTTATCTCTAAATATTGCATTTCATTGAATAAACACAAGTGGTAGTCAATGCAACGTTACAGTCATCTGCTGAGAAAATTTATTATATTCATAGAAATGTTTTAGCAAATCAGACAGAGTACTGGGAAATAAAGGCAGTTGCAATAAACCTGCGCAGAGCAACTGCACTGAAAAGTCTGTGTGGAGAAAGCTACGACAGGTCATGATGAGCCACGAGGGGGGACAGAGTAGAATTAGCTCAACTACCCTGAGAAAACGGAATCGCTACCTGTTTGACATTGTAGCCAGTCTTTGCGCTGGTTTCAATGAACATGACATTCAGTTCCTTAGCTCTCTGCTCGCCCTCCTCCGTGGTGATCTGTCTGCTCCGGTAAAAGCAGAAGGATGGAGATGGCCGAACAGACAGATATGGAAAGAAACCGCAAAGAGGACAGGCCAGAAGAAAAGAGAAGAGATGGAGAGAAGGACAAAGAGAGCTCAGCAATGAATCTTGTTTGGAGTGAAGAAGAGAGTGGTTAGTTTATAAGGCGGACAGAGACAAAGGGACAGAGGCTGCTGTGCTGAGTAAAGACGAAACAGCATAAAATCCACTCCGAAGGTCAATGATTCATTCAACAGCCACACTCTAATCCATTAAATGATCGAAGACATGGAGGAGCTTCACACCCCAGATGTCACAGGCGGGCCTCCCTAACCTCTGGGACAGTATGAGCCTTGCTTGAAACAGGATAATTTGTCACCATTACACCTGCTCCTGCTGAACACCAACCTGTTTGACGTTATAGCCAGCCTTGGCACTGGTCTCTATGTACATCACATTGAGCTCACGAGCTTTCCTCTCTGCCGCCTCAACAGAAACTTGCCTGCCATGGTCCCGGGAGGGGTAAGGTGAGGGTGAAGGATGGAAGTGTGGTGTTTTTAGGGGAAAACACAAAAAAATATTCAAAATGACATGAAGAGAAAAAACGTAAGGCAAAAGAAAAAAAAAAGGCAGAACAGAAATATGATCAAAGTATAAATAAAAAAAAACCCCAATATAAATAAAAAGTATTTAAATAACTTATAGAAAGGCTGAAGTATGCAACATTACAAGGAAATAATAAAAGTAAAAACTGGATGAGATGCACTGAAGGGAAGTGGGATTCCAGGCTTTGGCAGAGTTTATGCTACACAAAGATACCTGTTTTGTAAATGCACTAGGATCCATTTATCAATCTTTGTAAATAGAACACGAAAACAATCATTCGCGCTTATCACACAACCATGTACCTTTTATCCGCTAAGTCTGTTTTGTTCCCGACGAGCATGATAATGACATCACTTCCTCTCTCTGTTCTAACATCATCAATCCACTTTGAGGTTTGCTGGAAAGAATTAAGATCTGCAAATGGGGTGAAAACAAGCAACAAAATACAAAGTCATTATACACATCAGCCACATGTGCCCCAAAATACATGAAACATCTGTTACAATACATTCAGTTAAAAGCCTAATCTTATATAAGAAAAACCTGTAGTTATGTGTTAGTGAGCAGGAGTATTCAGAAGAAAAAGCTTGGAGAAGAAGTGTATTTTGTATTAGTGTACTAGCAGAAATAAAGAGCTTCCTTCCTATTACTCTAGAGCCCTACAGAATGGTTAGAGGACAGCCCTGACTCACTGGTGATGTCATAAACAACCACAGCAATGGTAGAGTCACGGATGTAGCTGGGAATTAGGCTACGAAAACGCTCCTGTCCAGCAGTGTCCCAAAGCTGGAGCCGGACCTGAGGATTGGAATTGCAGAAGAAGAAATTGACCAAAAAAAAAAAAGTCGAGATAAAGGGCAGCAAAGGGAAGGATGAGAATGTGGAGAACAGGACAGACATAAAAAGAATTGCAAGCCAAGCAGTAAAGAAGAGAATGACCTTTAAATGGAGGAATTGCGAAGAATCATTCAAATGCAGAAGGCTCAAAGATGACGGGTGTTATGCAAATGTGAAAGTAGGCCCTGCTGAATCATTATTTAGGCAGCTCTCACAGGATTTCTGCTCATGAAGTGACATCGGCAGACATCTTTTTCCTTATTCTTCAAGTAAGACTTATAACTATTAGCATTTACACTCCCCTGGACACTGCTGGAGAAATGCTTTTGAATCACTACACCTAATACAAACAGTATCTGAAATATACCCTAACATGCTATCCAGCGGGTTTGCTAGGCTCATTGGTGCTTTTGATTTTGTTTTTTGCCCTTCCACATACTAAGTGAAGGACAAGGAGGAGAGGCAAAGCCACAATACCTACTGGCTATGTCATAAACCACCACAGCGGCGGCTGAGTCGCGGATGTAACTGGGGATGAGGCTGCGGAAACGCTCCTGTCCGGCTGTATCCCAGAGCTGCAGCCGGATCTGTGGCCAGCCACGAAACAAATGTGGGAACATGGGGGCAATTCATGATCCAGCCAGGGGATGGAAGGAAAACAAAATCTTGAAATAATGATGGGAACTAAAAACACGATCACATGTTCAACAAAATGAGTGAAAAAACAAAAAACTAGGATAATCTATAAACAATGTGGAATGGTGTGATACTAAGCAGAAGCATGCTTCTATGGCAGTTTTAATACCTGACCAGTTGGAATGATGTAAATTACAGTAACACACTGGGCTTACCGTGCGATCTTCCAGATACATAGTTTTTGACAAAAAGTCAATACCAATTGTTGCCTGTAAAACAAACACTTCAATTAAACAGTGTTACCAGCAAGTTAAATGTATTACATACATTTAAAGAATCGTTACCTACATTATATGTTAAAAACATATTTTATTGACCTTTTTCATAACATAGCTAAAAAATGTCCAGAAAGAACAAAATTATCAAGTATTGTGATAGCGGTTTTGTGTGAAGATGCTTTAGATAGGAGTTCATCTGTAGCTGGACTTGACATAAACAGATGATAGTTCTTTCTTTTTCCTTCTGTCATGATTTTTGTACTTAAATCTGAGGCTGATGATTTAGTTAATTTGCCTTACATGTAGATTCTTATATCAGGAGTTTGTCATTTAAACTCTAAATGAGCCAAATAAAGATAAACTACTACTACTTCTACTGACATTTAGACTTGTCACACAGGTAGCACTCATAATCTAATCAGTGGAATGCACTTACATGCTTCCTAACATCCGGAGTAAGTGATTTTTGTAGCAAGCCCTTTGTGTGTTGCAAACATTCTACTCTGGTTGACTGGTGAAACATAATGGTTTCGGCAATTTGAAGTAACACGTTATTCATGTTTCATTATACACTTCACAGAAGGTAAAACCTCAGGGGCTTAGCTAGCAAGCTGATCGCAAAAATGGACACTATATTTACCATATTTACAAGAATGTGAATAGACAGATTACTAAATGCAAATTCCCTATGCCAAATACAATTAAACTAAATGATCCCATAATTTCCTCAGAGATTAATAAAGTATTGTTTTGTGTTAATCTTTTTTAATTGTCCAATTTAAATTTGTCTAAATATTTACAAGTATCAGCTACTGACATGATAAATTGGTCTATTTTATTCTATTTTAACTGTCACATATGTTATTAGATGATCAGTCGCATTGAAACTGTTAGCTCGTTTTTTATTACACCTGTGCTTGTGGCAAAAAATGTCAGTTTTCAGACAAAAATGACTACACAAATCCCTGTTATAACTTCTTTTTACCTGGTAAGTGTTGTCAAAACTGTCATACATAAACCTGGTGATGAGTGAGGTTTTCCCAACTGTACAGAAAAAACACAGTCACTTTAGTAACACAAGAGGTATTCCAGGTAATTCAAGCCTAAAACCACCACTCAAATGGTAAATTTAAAAATTATATAATTGTGTAATTAAGTCTGTATTCAATGAAGAGAGAGAAGAAAAATGAGTCGGTGACATCACACGGTGAGTAAACTGCTATTACCACTGATGCAGTGTGAACGACTGAACCCACACGCTGAGCTGGCAATATGGGTGGAGCCACAAAATCTGGAAAATTAAAATGTACTCGACCCCTGACAGCTGGCTCGTAATACCATACTGTATCAATTACACGACACAAACATTACTAACAACAAGCCACGTTTTGCAATGTCAGAGTCAGTCTCCGAACCTGAGCAAAAATAATGGCAATAAAGGAAAAAGGCCGACTGGTGCGAAACCACCGGTCGACGTGGCTTGTTCAAGATGCTGCAGCAGGAAGCTAACAGCCAAACAACTATACACCGACAAACAGACGGTTTAAATTAATTATTGAGATTTTCTGTTTGAAGTCTGTGATCTGTAACAGACTTAGAGCAACTATGTAAGTCTTTAAAGTGCGCAAGCGAGCGTCAACATTGACGTTTTAGCCCAATAGAGCTAACTAACTGCTAGCTACAAGCAGAAGTAACGTGCTAACAACGAACCTCCATCACAAACTAATGGGAGGAACAATGACAATGCCCATTGACTCATTTCGTTAATTTTTAATATGTGGATAAATCTTGAATACAGCTGCTACGACACAATAATTTGTCGTATTCTTGCCCTCTTTTAAGGCACAAAACAAGCTAGTTTAGCGATCTACCTCAAGCTAATGGTAGCTATTCAATGACATCATCACCGGGGAGAAAAATCGGTAGGTTAATAATCTTTGTCATGCTCTAATATTCTTTGTTGACCTTGCAAAATTAACAGATTGTCCCGTATCATTACTGGTCACTAATATACACTACATGACTGTACCATACCGTGCAATTTTAAGCTAACACCACAAAGCTAGTTAGCTGATCTTGCCAGTTCTCCCAACATTTCCTTTCATCTGACCAAATTAACGCTTCTCTAAGTACTTCGTGCCCATCTTACCACTCTGTTCGCCCAGAAAGACGAGCTTGAACTTTCGTAAGGGGTTGCCAAACTCTCCGCCGCCGGTCGTGGTTGACATTTTGTCAAAAAAATAAACAGCTTACTAGCTGACTTGGCTAATGATGTGATGTCTAGACCAGAGAGGACCAAGCCGTGTATCCTTATCCTACACTAGCCAGCGCTATTGTTTTCTGAAACATACAGCAGTGGAAATAGCGCCTTCAAGTGGCAAACACAGAGACAACAAAAATGGCAAAGTTAAGAAAGGCCTTGCAATCAGGATCACCATTCTATTGCAATATTTTCAGGTTGAAAAATCTGCAGAAACAATAAATACATAATTTAAATGCATTTGTTTACAGGGAGCGTAAATGTTTACACAGGACATTTTACAACTGCAGGAAATTTCCTGTAATATATTCATTCAGTCAAATTAACTCGTGGAACCATGTTACTTTCATTTTTAACAATTATTTTAAATAAAATAATTTGTGTAGTTTATTCAAGCAAATATTTGAAAATAAAGAAAAAATAATAAATAGGATAAAATCCCAAAAAATAAATTCTGAATAAACTGCATGATGGGCAGTTGGGCAGAATAGATTTCAAATTAATATAAATGAAATCTTATGTGAAATTGAGCATTCAGTATGAGGGTGACTGTTTTCAACTTAATGGTCAACAGTTAGGTAAACAACTTTTTCAGCATTGGTAACAAGGCTGCATCAAGCTGACAAGTCATTTGATCTGTAGCAAACAGCAACTGAAATATCTAATAAAAAAGTTTATTATTTTATATATTTATTATTATTATTATATAAAGTGTCTTCCAGTTGTAGAATTAACCACAAAAAGGTCTTCCTGAATATTGTATCTCAATCAGAAAACATTTTATAGTGCAGCAGATAACTGAACATTGCTGCAAAATCATCCACAGGTGGTTAGGGGTACCAAAGTTGCAATAGTCTTTTTATGATTGCTTAGTTATATTCGTAACACGAGTTGGCCAATATAACAATGAAGGACAGTGCTGTCGTGCGGCAAGAGGATTCTAGGTCAGATTCCAAAGAAAGACATAAATGTGAAGTTAGGTTAAGTGTTGTTTCTAAAGTGGCTGTTGGTTTGATGGTAAATGGTTATCTGTTTCTCTTTGTTACCTAAAAAATCCTTTATGACAGGATGTGTGAGCATGATAGAGCATGGGAATAAATGGCATGGCACCAGATGAAAACAAAAAATGTAAAATTGTATTGTTTTTTGAAAGATTGTTTCTGTAATCCGCTGCACTATTATTGGGAGAAAGAACCACAAGAAGCAGAGAAACAGTTATATATTTTTGGGTCACTATTTACAGACAAGTAGGCCATGCGAAATGTTACCGAAAGCTGGAAGGAAGGAAATGGCTTGCTGCAACTTTTCGGAGCAGTGGTATAATAACTGGTTACACCCAGAAAAACTTTAACTGTGACTTAATCTAGCAAAAAATGATAGCTAACATAAACATAAAAATGTATCAGTTTGGTTAGTGTGGGGGAAAAAAAAACCTTCCAACACCAAAACAGATCATAAATATGAACAAAGAGAAGTTTGTACTTGAGAAAAATGGATTTATTGAGTTCTCTTAATTGTCTTAACAGAGTGTCACATTTGTGTTTTTAGAATAGCCACTCATTTCATCCATTCACCATTTTTCAACATGTAATTTCTAATGACATACAAATAAAGATTACGTTAAATCAAGCTCTGCATCCTCATTACCAATGACACATATTGAAAGGTCTACTCTATTGTGGGACACATCTGTTGGATTCTAGTGCTATGATGTCACGCACGGAAATTTCACACAGACTTCTGACCCTCAGTAATTGAGTTCTCATAGTTATTTATAATAGAATTGAATATATACAGGGGAAATTTGAGCATTTTGTGCTCTTCTTTGCTGATAATGAGTTCCTTTGTGTTCTGTGTTCTCTGCATGAGAGATGATTTTCCTTGACTGGCTGCTTCAACCATCCGTGGTGTTAACTGTGATATCTGACCTGTGGATAAAATGGACAGACAATGGACTGTGACTCTAACATTATTCAAGGTAACTTATGGAATATATCTCATCTAATTTTGTACAATCCAGTTTCCAAAAAGCTGCAACATGAATGCAATGATTTGGAAGTTATTTAAATACTGTATTTAAAAAACAGCATATCAAATGTTGAAAATTAGATATGTTTTGTGTTTGTAGAGAGAGAGAGTGGCAGGGGCATTTTCATCATTATTTTAGATCACGTCTTTTTTTGTTTAGGGACACTGTTAATATTTGGGAGGCCTGATGGGAACAGTTGGTGTAATTTGAGAGCACAGTGTTTTCCAGTTCTTGTTTGATGTAGGACTTCAGCTTCTTTGCAGTCTGGGGTCTTTTTCATTTCATAACACTCCAAATATTTTCATTTGGTGACAGAACGAGACTGCGAGCTAGTTAAGCACCTGGAGTATGTGCTTAATTTTTAGTATTGTTTTAGGAAATAAGCAAGACCTTATGTGAACTAGAAGCCATGGATATGTTGCTATGAAACCTACATATACATTTCAGCATTAGTGATGCCATCACAGATGTGCAAATTACACATGATACATGCACCCCTCTCTTCTTCTCTGTGCTAATAACAAGCTGGTTGGTCCCTTTTCTAAGCCCAGATTATGCTTTTTGACCTTGTCTCTTGTATACAGAAATTTTTCTGAGCTTTTAAATCATTCAATAACATTATGTAGTTCTGTTAAACAAAAATGTATTCTTTAATTGTTGAACTCTTTGTTCACACAGTCTTTTACTGAATTGTAAACCCTCTCGCTCATCTTTGCTTTGCTGAAAGTGCCAGCCTCAGTCGGGGTACTCGTTCTACAACCACTCAGTTATCTCATTTAACTTAAAACATTTTGAGTTTCAACATTTGATAAGTTGTCTTTGTAGAAGGGTTACATTTTTCAATACATACATGTTGTAGTGTCCCTTGGGTTTTTTTGTTTGTTTGTTTGTCTGGTTTGAAAATTGGGTAATGGATTACTTTGATTTGTGAATTTTTATACAGTATTGCAGGCCACCCCTTCTTTTGTATTTATACCATCTGCCATTTTTCAGACTCATACACTTTCAGATATTGCCCAACTTTCAAAAATCTGCATACATGCTGCTATTAATGTCTACTGGAGATCTTTTAATTATTGATCTTGGGGGTGGAGCAAGAGGATTCAAATTTGATTTTTCACACAGGATCGAAGGGTAAAACAGGACACTCGTTCAAGGGCCATCACTTCTGCGCTTTTGCAATTCATGCAATTTTCTATCCAAATAGTTCTTTAACATGTGTTTTATGTCATCATCTAATATTTTAGTGTGTAGGGATGTTATAGGAGGGGCAGTAACCCTTGAAGAAGTGAACACTGCACAACTCACTGTATCTGAGTTGACCTCACCTGAACTAAAGAGGCATTTAATCCAATTTGCTGTGGTTCATAAAACACATAATTGTTCATGAGAAACAAACATGAACATCATATACAATTATCACTGCCACAGGCGAATACACGTCTTTTTATAGAGACTATTTTATACTTTATACTTACACTTCTGCTCAGTACACAGTAATGGCACGCAGTAAAGGGGAGAGCATGGCATATAGATGACAGTAAGATCAGTTACAGAAAGCTACTGTCTAATTTTAGTGATATTTCAGGAAGTATTTTAATGGTAATTTAGCTGGCACTAGCAGTTTACAAAATACAGAACTCACCTGCAGGCTTTGGGGACATCAGTGTCACAGGAAGTTCCACGACAACATCACTAAACATTTTACAGATTAACATATACTCGTGAATAATTTGCATTCATTTACACAACTGGCAATAAATGAAGGAGAACTGATATTTACCGTCCTGTCAAACCACCCAGCAAGCTATGGTCAGAGAGAAATGATAAAAGAATCCCTTAGTCTGCACAGTTTGGCACAAAAAAAGGAAAGCGTTATGGGTTAGTGTTTTCTATTAAGCCTTACCCTCCACTCGAAACTGTAAGAGTGACCTTGACTTTGTAGGAGATAATAATTCCCTGCATCTCCTTCTCTCCTTGACTCCTGCAAGGAGATGGGAATAGTTTATGATTTAAACCTTGGGGATTTGGTTTAAGGTGCTATAAGTGGACGGCAGAATATATAGTGACAACATTGCTGCTCAAAAAGAGGATGAAGGCCCATCCTAGCTTCACCTAAAAGAGACCTAAAAGTCTTACAGCGTTGTGGATGCTAAGTTGGTGTCCTGATCTTTTAGACGTCCATCGACTGCAAGACCTCGCTTTTCTTTGTTGTTGGCAAGCAGGGGGGTTACTTGGAAGGACTTCTCAAATGTAGAGATGGCATTTACGGTCTCTCTGTGTTTAGAGGTGAAATAGAGGGAAAAAGAACTCACACTAGGTTAGTATTCATTTTTTTCAGTTAATCTACTTAGGGCCTTTTTCATTTTAAGTAGCAATAAAATACAGACATATTGGAATATTGGTGTGTGTGTGTGTGTGTGTGTGTGTGGGGGGGGGGGGGGGGTCGTTTATAGCCTCAGATTCACTGATAGTTACAGCACATAATGTACTTTTTAGATACATTAATTTGAACCAGAAATGACTCGAGTCCGGTTATTATTCGCCTTACCCAAACTCTTGAGCACAGACTTCCTTGACGTAAGTGTCAGATGAGTAGAGGACCACACTTGTGAGCTGGTTAACTTAACACAAAAATAGTTCATGTTAGAAGTATGAATTAAACTATATGCCTTGAAAATATTTCCCCCATCTCTTCAAACTATACAAACAAAAATGATTCTGATCAGACATATTTGGGTCCTTACCTGAGATTTTGATTTTCTTCACAGTCTTGTTGGTTTCATTGTTGATTTGCACTTTAACGGTTATTGGATCTCCATGGTAATAAACCTGGAAAAGAGTGATTTTAAAACACAGTTTAGCAATTATTATGTAATATTTATAATGGTAAAAATGCATTTGGTATATTTTCAAGTACCTCTTTTTCAAGGGAAGCCTCCAAGTGCACTGGTTTGTCACTCATCATAAACTGCTTGGATACATCAGCCTTGGCTCCGGCCTTGTTGTTAGCTGGGGCGAACTGTATTTTACGAATCATCAGACGACAAGTATCC